GCTCAGCTAGCCCAACAGGCTCAGCTAGCCCAACAGGCTCAGCTAGCCCAACAGGCTCAGCAGGCGCAGTCCACCTCTGCAACCACCAGTAGCGCTGGAAAGGCATACAAGATGAACAAGCTCGCCATGTATGATGGCAACCAGAAAACGCTGTATGGATTCCTTACCTACTGCAGGGCGTATTTCTTGCACCACGCAACCCAGTTTATCATGGAATCTGAGAAGGTTATCCTTGCAGGAACTCGTCTCGAAAAGGATGCTCTCATTTGGTACAAATCTTCTCTATACAACTACTTGGAGCATCAGAACAATCCCAATGCACGTACTCAGGGTACTAAGGATATGTTCGATTCCTTTGAGAGCTTCGAGAAGGCTTTCAAAGAGATCTTTGGTAATCCCAACGAAGAACGCACTACAGCTCAGCAGCTTATGGACCTCAGACAGACCAAGTCGGCTTCTGCCTATACGGTTAGGTTCAAGCAACTCTCAGCGCGACTCCCGTAGGAAGATAAGAACCTCATGGAGCACTATTACAAGGAACTCAAGGACGATGTTAAGAACGAGATCTCCAAGCAGGATTGGCCAGAGAACTTTGCGATGTTCTCTAATCAAGCAATCTGTATTGATAACTGTCTGTACGAGCGATAGATGGAGAAGTTCAAGAAGGAAGGAAGCTAGACTTGGAGGTTTCCGGCTAATACAGGCAAGAAACTCCAAAACAAGAATAGCAGCTGATATAGCAGTACAGCCCAGAGCAGCACTATGCATGCTGGTTCCATGGAACTCGATGCAGCTAATAAGCAGTATAGCAAGAGGAATAGCATTATCTGCTACAACTGCAACAAACAAGAATACATTATATGCAACTGCTATTAACTTCGGAAAAATAAATAGCAATTAGTTCAGAAAGGATGCTAGATAAATGTTGCTCGATGACAGGAACCCAATCAACTGAGCAAAAATATTCCCTTGGAGCAAGTATCGGATTCTGTTAATTACGGAAGTCTTAGCTGGACATTCTGCTATGATAATAACTGCTTAATATACCTCTTGAGTAAGGAAGGTTCAGGATGGTTCCCTCAGAAACCTAGGCGCTGCAGGCAAATAGCAACAGCAGGACGAGAATGCACGCCCAGCACCCTCACGAGTAGCAACTCGGACTGCTCTGACATCGCGGAACAGAGCATTCAGACGTTGGAAGAAGAACTTAGCAACAATACCCTTCAACATTCTTCATCGCCTATGCCAAGCATTATAACCAGGGATATGGATAAGGAATGGTACTCTCTTGGTTATTGGTATGAATATCTAAACGATACCGAGAACGCCTCTCAGACAATAGAAAGATCAAGCCAGAACGAACGATCTAACAATTCACCGGAGTCTTCCATGAATAATGAACTCAAGAAGCCTATAGGAAGGTTCCCCTTCGGTATTGGATGGAACAAGGAAATAACATGGATTGAATATCTCGTTTACAGAATAGGGCTAGAAGAGCTCTTCACCTGTATTCCCTTGCAGAACATCGAGGCATGAGAAAATGAGGATCCTCGAATCAGCTCACTTTACGATCTATACTACAAATTAGCTTGGATTTCCTGCATCTATTATAGCTGCAGAATGCATTTCTCAGACAAGGTGCAATACGAATGGTTCTCCGTTAGAGAATCAGAACAAATCCTTCAGGCTGTTAAAGAAAAGGAACTCCGCTTCAGAGAAGTTCTCAACAAATAATACTACAATGCATACATTGGGCTATCCGACAACTGTTCTATGCAATGTATAGATAAGAAGATAAAATGATAGCAGTGCAAAACAATACTCTGCACGATTTACATTAATGATAAGGTTTGCGATTAGCATCAACAGAGGAAAGACTAGGAATAATGATAATACAAGCAAAAACAAGCTAAGAAGCTTGCTCAAGAAGCAGCGAAGCAGGCTCAGAAGGATAAGCAGTTCTCAACGAATTCAAAAGAACAGGATTGCTTGTAAAGGGACTGCAGACGATTAGACCGGAATGATTCTTATGTGAAGCTTCTAGAACAGATTATGCTTACATTAAGTTTAATATATATATTCAAGGATACAAATACAGCGCACTATTGGATAGTGGCGCTCAGGGAAACTTTATATTTCTATATATTATTAATCAGGCATAACTACAATGGAAATGGAAGAGATGCTTATATACTCTTAGTACTGTAGAAGGATAATCTGTTGCATACAATCAAGGAGTAATTGATAAGGAGACTGATTATTTATCTATCTTAATCCAAGGATGTATAGTCAGAGCTTTCTTTGATATTACGGATACAGCACAGCATGAGCTGATTATGGGGCTTCCATGGCTCAAAGAGCATAATCCTCGAATCGATTGGATTACTGGCCAGATCTTATGAGAACAAGCTGTATTCAGAGAGATAGTTACAATTAACGACGCAGGATCGAAGCTAGTGGTTGAAGAATATTCAGGAAAAGAGGCTTCACACGACTTCATACATACCTCCAAACCAGCAGGGCTGGCAGTTCAAGGAGAAGAATCTAGTGACAAGCGAACCCAAACAGTGCCAGGGCGCTAACAGGTTAACAAAACAACGGAAGCGAGATTCTCAGCAAGTCGGTCCGCCCCGGAGCGACAAGGAAAAGCTTCAGAATGTGGATTGTAGATCCACACAGGAAAAACCTCGAAACCAGGCCCTCGAGCGCTCGGTCCGGCCCGGAGCGAACGCTCAAGGCCCTCGAGAATGTTACCAAAGACAACGAACGAAAAGAAGCACGCTCAACGGTACCTACTGTTCCTCCAGGTAGCAGAAACAGCACAAGAATCAGAACTAATACTCGCGAATATACCATGAGAATATCACAAGTTCAAGAAACTGTTCCAGGAAGAATTGGATACAGGACTGCTAGAACACAGCCTATACAACCACGAGATCCCGCTACAAGAAGGGAAACAGCCCAAGTTCTTCCCTATCTACGGACTAGACAAAGCATGGCTAGAGGCACTTCGGGAATACTTTAACGAGAATCTTAAAAAAGGATACATACAACTATCGCAATCATTAGCAGGATATCCCATCCTGTTTGTATCTAAGAAAAATAGCAAGCTCAGGCTATGTATTGATTACAAGCAACTCAATAACATTACAATCAAAAACCGATATCCATTGCTACTCATTAAGGAATTATGAGATAGGTTGCAAGGAGTACAGTGGTTCACAGTTCTGAATCTGAAAGGAGCTTATAATCTAATCAGAGTAAAGGAAGAAGAAGAATGGAAAACTGCTTTCAGAACATGCTATGAATACTACGAATATTTGGTTATGCTCTTTAGTCTAACGAATATCCCAGCTTCATTCTAGGAAATAATCAATTACATTCTATGCAAGCATCTGAATCAGTTCATTATTGCCTATCTCAATAACATTCTTATCTACTCTTGAATACTTGAAGAATACAAGAGATATGTGGAAATAGTATTGCAAATGCTTCAGAATGCGAAGCTTCTTGTGGAATCCGCAAAGAGCTATTTTCATGTATAAAAGGTTAACTACCTCGGATTCACAATCGAGCCAGGATGTATTAAGCTACAGAAAGACAAGATAGAAGCTATCAGAAATTGGCTAGTTCTCAGGAATATCAGGGATATTAGATCTTTCCTCGGATACATCAACTTCTATAGGCAGTTTATTAAGAACTACAGCCGGATTGCACATCCTCTTACAAATCTCACTAAGAAGAAGCAGCCCTTCGAATGAACCCCCAAGGCATAAGAAGCCTTCGATGAGATCATCAGATACATCACCTCAGAACCAATTCTATGCAAAGCAGACCCCTACAAACTCTTTGAAGTTGAAACTAATGCATTAGAATATACACTTGGAGAACAACTTGGTTAGCGAGACGACCAAGAATGTCTAAAGATTATAAGCAACTTCTCAAAGAAGTTGAATAGCTCAGAAATCAACTATAGAATCCCTGATCAGGAATTCATAGCAATAGTAAAAGCCTTCAAGAAATAGCAATACTACCTCATTAGCGCACAATACTCGATCATAGTTCACTCAGATTACAAGAATCTGACTATATTCATAACAACCAAGATTTTGAACAAGCAATAAGTCAGATAGGCAGAATTCCTCTCACAGTTTGACTTCAAAATTGTGCACTGCAAAAGCTCGGAAAACGGATGAGCAAATGCTCTCAGCAGAAGATCAAACTATCGAAACGCAGACTCTTCGGACATGCAGAACATCTTCGCCCAAGATGAATCAGAAAATCTCGTTAATGCATACAGAGAACTAAACACTGCTCTCAGAATCGGATCCTCGGAAAGAGATCCAGAATCGATAACTCCAAACGAACAAAACAGCCACATCAGGGATGTACATAGTGCACCAGCACACAGATACCAAGGAGTTAGAGCAATTTACAAACACATCAAAAAACACTGAAACCCACCAGATCTTAGGAAAAGAATTGAGAGCATCCTACAACAATGCAACAGCTGCAAGAAGAATAAAGCAGAAAGATACAAGCCTTACAAACTACTGCATTTCTTATTAATACCTACAACTATTTAGCAATCCATCAATCTAGACTTCATTATCAAGCTATCTCTCTTACGAGAACCCTTAACTAAGATGCAATACGATAGTATTCTAATAGTAGTTTGCAAACTGAGCAAGTATGCTTATTTTCTTTCCTACAAGGAAAGTAGTACAGCAGAGAAACTCGCATATGCATTCCTCAGAATGATTATTGCTAACTATAGCATACCAGAAGAAGTGATCTCCAACAGAGATAGAAAGTTCAACTCGAAATTTTGAACTTCACTCATGAAACAGCTCGGAACACATTACAGAATGTCTACAGCATTTCACCTGCAGATAGATGAATAGACAGAAAGAATGAATCAGATTATCAAACAGTATCTTTGATACTATATCAATCAGAAATAAAACAACTGAGTTAACCTGTTGCCTCTCGTACAGTTCGCTTATAATAGCGCAGATACAAGCACAACGAAGAAGTCACCATTCTTCGTACTCTATGAATATAATCCAACAGCTTATTACAAAGCACTGCTAGAAGCAGATGCAGAAGCTGCGGATAAAAGGATTAAGAAAATCAAGAAAGTTCAGGAGGAACTCCGATCAGAGTTACGATTCGTTCAGGAACAAATGATACAGTATGCAAACTCCAAAAGGATTGAGAGACTAATCTTACAGAAGGGAGATAAGGTCTATCTACTTCGAAAAAATATCAAAACAACTAGATCCAGCAGCAAGCTCAACTATAAGAAATTGGAACTATTCAAAATCTTACAACAAATCTTCCTAGTAAACTACGAGTTAGCATTATCTTATAGGATAAGAATATATCTGGTTTTCCACGTCTTACTGCTGGAACTAGCAGCATAGGAAATATTAACGGATAACACAGCGGAAGTAGAAAACAATGAACCAGAATACGAAGTGAAGAAGATTCTCAAGCATAGAAGCACAGACAACACGAGGGAATACCTCATCAAATGGAAAGGTTACCCAGCAAGCGAAAACTCATGGGAACTACGGAAGAACATCGAAAACGCTCAGGAAAAGGTAGCTGAATATTGGAAAAGGAAAACCAGTACCTAAGATGATCGCTCCGCCCCGGACCGAGACTCAGAAGCCTCGGGAACCTCACTCTCCAGAAAGCTCGACCAATCTACCACAGAATCTCTCAAATCCACAGAATTCCAGTCAAAACCTTCAAGAGAAGAATCTCCAGCTACAACAGCAGATTCCTCAGCTACCACAGCCTGCACTTCAGCAGCAACACGCACCCTCTCAGCCTCAGCCTCCTCAGCCTCCTCTTTCTCAAGCTCTTCAAGGTTCTTAAGACCTCGATGAATAGCCCAAGATATCCTCTCATGCCACATCTTCTTTTGTTGATGCAGTCGAAGCAACTTCAACTCCAACTCTTCTATCTCATCCTCTAGCTTTCGATGCTGAGTAGAGGTAAGAAGGAGTTCAGCAGCATTCGTTAGCTCCAGAACATCGCACTTAGCGCGATTCTGGGAAACGCACTCCGAGCAACAGAATGAATCGTAAGGAGAAACAATATACGATTACAGGCCTCGACTATTGCAATAAGAACAGGGATGTATATCGAAACCGTTTGAAAGAATGGACTGAAGAAGGAGATCTTTCTGCTTCTTTTTGTCAGAGCGAGGATTCAAGGATTTCGGTTTTGCGACTTTATTGATTCTATTCAGCATCTCGATTAGGAAGGCAAGATCATGAATACGGAAACTTGCTAGAATACTTACAGAAGATCGTTGAGAACAACAACTGATAGAAGGAAGATGATGTTATAACCCATCCAATATGCAGATCACAGAATAAGATTACGAGTAACAGGGATCAGGTGTCAAGGACTCAACGTTCTGACAAAGCATTGATTACATAATCCAGGGTTAGGGTTGTAAAGGAGGGAGGATCGTTGGGCTCGCTAGCGATCCCAACGAGCTTCACACCTTGGATCGCTAGACTTGCCAGCGATCCCAACGAGCCGTACTGAAGAGCTGGATATATAAGAACACGTTCATTACCATTAGATGGATTCAGTACATAGCTCTTCAGTTGTCAATCTAAGTATTCAGTCTTCTATACTGAGTAGCTCCAAAGGCAGTGAACACTTGCATCGCTTATTAGGACTTGTACGGTTCCGTATTCAAGGACTTGACACTTTGACACCGCTCTTGTTAGCATAAACCCTTCGTGTACTTAAGAATCTTCGGATTGCTGCAGTGCTCATTACAACGATACTAACAGTACTAACAGTACTAACAGTACTAACACTACAACTGGACTTTCTCAATACTTCTATATAGCGGCAGCAGAATTTCGCTCCGGCCCGGAGTGGGCATCCAGGAGGGCCAGGCATCCAGGAACGATAGCTACAAATGTGGAGTCCGAGGATGTCGGTCCGTCCCGGAACGAGAACGCCAGGCTTCGAGGCACTAGTATGGCTATAAAGAAGCAAGAAGAGAGTAGGGTGAAGAAAGCGTGCAAAAAAAGAGGGGTAGGTAAACTGAGTGAATTGGGAGATGCGTAGAGTTTGTGAGCTTAAGGGAACTAGTAGGCCCGTAGGAGAAGGAAAGGGCACGTGAAAAGAGGCCCGTGGAACTAGGAACCAGTAGGCCCGTAGGAGAGGAATAGGGCCTGTGGACTACCATAGAATCCGCTTCCGAATCACTCGGGGAATTCTTGAGGAATATCTGGTGGTGCAGGTGCATTAGGGCAATGCCAGTGAGACTCTGGCGATCGTACACTGAACCTATTCAGCTGATCTCATGGATAGCAGCCTTGATAGGGTACCAAGGCTGTATATTTGGGTGCAGGATTGATTTGGATTATCGGGGAAGTTTGCAGTTTGCAATAAAAGGAAACCAAAAAGAAAAGCTAACAAATAAGATCAATACAATCAGCTAGTGACTAAAAAGCGCCTGCTATCATGTCTATACGCTTTTCCAACGATGCAATATAAATCTTGTGCTCGTTGTTTACAAGAACAGAAGTCTCTTGCAGCAGCTCCAAAACCTCCTCTCTGCTCAAACCCGTTGTAGTCGCTAAAGTAGTTCTCTATGGGCAGTTAACTTTTATTCTTGCACAGACTAGCTTGCTATGCGGCTATACCTTTTTGGACTGCTGAAGCTTTCGCCGGCGCTGCCAAGACGGCGCAGTACTAAATTCCCGAGGTATATCGCTGAGTATTGGTTGCAAAAGTTTGAAAACATGATATCGCCGGGCAAGTTTGCCAGATCGAAAGCAGTAGACAAATCAGCGGATGAACGAGATACAGACGAAAGCTCTCTTGTCATGGGCTAATGCGATTGATGCGACTGTTGTGGAAATGCTATGACAGATGTGTCCATTCGTTGATGTTGTACGGTGAGGAAGACGACCTTTTTTCTTTCTTTTTTTCTTCTCATCGTCGTCAACTTGGGGCGCGGACGGCGAGCATAGGTCAACGCCACAAACACAAACACAAACCTACAGTGAGACCAGGAAAGACATTTCGAGAAAATGGGCACCTATGAGGTCTTGTTCAACGTAGCAGCCTTTCTGGCCGGCCTCTCCCTCTTCAAGCTCTTCGTGTCGAGCGCCACTATGCTGGCCAAACGGCTGCACATCCCTGAGATGCTCGTCGCTATCCTGATCGCAGGCGCAGAGTGGGAGGAGCTGACCGTCGTGGCCCTCAGCCTGGCCCAGCGCCGGCCCGCGCTCGCGGTGGGTAACACCATCGGCAGCTGCGTGGCCAACATATTTGGTGCCTTCGCCCTCGGCCTAGTCTTCTCCACGGGCGCCTGGGAAGGCTTTGACCGGAGCTCCAAGACTGCCTGCGTGGCCCTACTGGCCCTCACGAGCGTCGTGTCCCTGTTCTCACTGGCAGATATCCTCTGGAACCGCGTCGTGGCCGGGCTGCTGCTTGTGGCCTTTGTCGCGTACATGGTGCTGGTGCTGTGAACCATCTGGAGGGCCATGTTGTACACGGAGCGTCATAATGAGGCTGAGGATATTGAGTCCGGGGCCGCTGCACACGACCATCTTAACGACTCGTTCTCGGCCGACACTTTCGGCTCCTCCTCTGCCGCTAGCCACCATGAGATCAACAACAACGGCAGCTACTATGCTGATGGAGAGGCCGGCGAGTCGGGTCTCTTCTCCCCAAGCACGGAGCCTCCTCCTTCTCCTCCTCCTCCAAGCTCAGAAAATTCCACCACACTCTCATCCCGATCCTCAAGCTCGTGTGTGGCTTCGTGGTCCTGACGGTCAGCGGCTTTATCCTGTCGCACATTCCCACACACCTCGCCGCCTCATTCGACATGTCGGATGCAGCCTTTGGCGCCACCGTCTTGTCCCTCGCCACGTCGCTGCCCGAGAAGTTCCTCGCGGTGATGAGCAGCACCCGGGGCCACACGGGCTTGCTCATCGCCGACGCCGTGGGGAGCAACGTGTTCCTGCTGACTTTGTGCCTCGGCATCGCCGCCTGGAGTATCGCCGCGCATGGCTGGCACGATCACCCAGAGGATGGGCGCTGAGGCTTTGTGAGTGTCTCGCGCATTGAGGCCTGTTGGCTGTGGGCTGCGGCTGTCGCCTTGACAGTCGTCGTTGCTATTGGAGGGAAAGCCATTTGCAAGGTTGCCGGCGTGCGGCAAATGCTGGGCGCCTTGATGTTAGTCGCATATGGGGGCTTTTTGGAAGTCGAGTTCACGATATTGCAAGGCTGAGGCGAGGGGAGGGACCTGTATTTTTTATTTTTTTGTTGGGAAAAGCCGACGATGGCTGAGGGCACAGATTGGGATGGAGTGCTATGTTTGCAGCCAGTCTCGCTGTCTCCCTCTTGCTTCGGATGAGGGCATGGAAGGTTTGACGACTTGTCCAAGTACATAGCGCAGAATGAGCATTGTGCTTCTATCAAATAGAGTCAGGTGCCCTATCAATAGGCAGCAATGTGGAATCTTTATAATATCTGGCGATTTTGTCGAAATGTTGCAAACTTGTCCAACAAGCAACAGTGAAAAGTAGAAATAAAGGAAAGGAAGGAAAATTCGTACAACCAACATCAACCCTTGTTGATTGTTAAGATTGCTTCCCTGCTAAAGTCCTTCCCGGCTCTATATAATTAGAAAACATGTCTATCATCATATTATCCTTGCCGATCCATCATCCGATACCTCCCCCCCCTCCCAAAACAAGGTCGTCTCGACTATCAATCAGCCATGAATGGTCACTCAAGTGAAGATATGACTGCTCTAGTCCGCATGATTCTTCTTCCATCAGGAAAAGGCTGGCACCGCTCTTGTGATTCTCATTATTGGACATGATAAATCCTTGCCAGATGATTTGTTGCGCATGTGACTTGTGTAAACAGCAGAACCCAGGTATTTACGGACGGCCAGAAGCGCTGGAATGCCAAGCAGCGGCTCCGAACCACCGAGCGCCTGAATCTTGACAACCTAGATGAGGCCGGCGAGACTCAGCTCAGCCGCCTACTACACATCCTACGCACCAAGAAGAAGATCGTCGTCATCGCGGGAGCAGGCATCTCCATTTCGGCTGGAAGTACGTCTATACAGAGGGCTTGCCTGCGCATTTCTAAGAGCGTATGGATAAGCGACTTGATGTAACAACTCTTAGTTCCTGAGTTCCGATCCAGCGAGGGACTGTTCAAGACATTCAAGACAAAGTATAATATAAAGGGTAGTGGCTCAGCTCTCTTTAATGCCTCGGTGTACAATGATAACAAATCTACGGCTACTTTCCACAATATGCTCTGTAATCTATCAATCTTAACGAAGGACGCCAAGCCCACTCCTTTTCACAACATGCTAGCTACAATTGCGAACGAGGGCCGCCTTCTACGCTTATACACCCAAAATATCAACTGCCTGGAAACCTCTCTTTCGTCCCTAGCAACGAAACTGCCTCTGCCTATAGAGGCCCCCTGGCCAGTAGCCATCCACGTCCACGGCGGACTAGAGAAGATGTATTGTACAAAGTGGATGCATATCTCGCATTTCAAGGCAGATCTCTTCCAAGGACCCGAACCCTCTTTGTGCAAATTATGCGCGAAGCAGGACGATGTGCGCACAAGAGTCCAAGGGAAGCGGAGCCACGGTATTGGACGGCTGAGGCCGAGAATAGTCCTCTACGACGAGCCTGGCCCCAGCCCCGATGAGGAAGCTGTCGGAAACGTCTCGGAGGCCGACTTGAAGGAGGTACCGGATGCTGTTCTTGTCGTTGGTACGAGCCTCAGGATCCTAAGCATGAAACGAATCGCTCGATGTTTTTGCTTGGCAACGCGGTCCACGCCCGATGGGTTCACTGCTTGGATCAACCCGGATCCTGAACCTCAGAATCGTGACCTTAAGGATCTTTGGGACCTGGTTGTTTGCGGCAAGTCGGACGTTGTTGCCAACCTCTTCGGACTTCCTTCTCAGTCGATGGAAGACTGGCGCAAGAACAATATTACGTATTGCCCCGAGGATAAAGTGATTGCTACCAAGGCTCTGGAAGAGGTGGTGATCCATCCAAGGAAGAGTTCCGGATCCGTCTCTCCTATTATTGCTCCTGGCCAGCTGTCTGAAACCCTTCTTCCACACCATTATAATGTTCTTATGCCCGGCTCCGAAAGCAATGTGAACCCCAAAAGCGTAGACACACAACCGGGATCCACAGCACGAGAGCTCTCCTGTGAAGACCGCCGCTCACTGGAAGCTAGCTCCCTCGAGGCTGATGCGGACGCGCCCGAGCAGCATAAAGGGCAACGTGCACCGGATTATATAAAAAATGGAGAGAAGTATTGAACGTTGAGTGCATCCTAGACCGTCGCCAGAGGCGAGAGAGACGGAGAGGTCGCCCGGCAACCGAATACTTAGCACATTGGCAGAGCTATGGTTCTGAGGACGATACGTGGGTATCAGGGAAGTCACTTAAGCAAGACGTGCCGGATATGGTCAAAGAGTTTGACAAAGGTTTCCTGTCTAGCAATGCTACAGAAGACAAAGTAAGCCCCAGAGATTGATTTAATAATCCTTCTCTACTTAGATTGTTATGTTTCAACTAAGTTAGGCCACCCCCTTTTGGTACACCAGGCGGAGCTGCTCAGATCCGGTAGGTCTTTGTACTCAATATACAGGGTATGTAGTCGCGCATCATAGCCCAGGAGACGGGCGATCCGGGGCTGTCTCTTATTAGCAACTGGCTTCCTGTGTGAAGGGGCAGACAGACAGACAGACAGACAGACAGAGAGAGAGAGAGAGAGAGAGAGAGAGAGAGCTGGCTTACATGGTCGAGATGACGACGCTGTTTGAACTCAGCATACCACCTCTGGGCAGCACTGCGTATCCCCGCTTCTCCGCGTTCATCGGCATATATCCCTTGTGGTCGTGTGATGATCTTGACCACAACAGCCTTTGTGCTGGTCAGAATGGCTTTGAAGGGATAGGCGCAGCGCGATCGGCGCTCCCATCTAGAATACAGATAGGCAAGACGATACCGCGCCTCGTCTGCATCCTCATCTCGCACCATGAGCGTTTGACCCTCGCTAGGCTTATACGCGAACCAAGCTTCGTCATCCAGAGAATATACTACACAAGCCATCCCTCCTTCTGGAAATGACGATGGTGTCATAGCAGGCATTAACAAGAGACGCGGCCCAGGCGCGTGCCTTCTCTTAGTATTGGATGTAAGCCACTATTCAGGCCGCTCCGGCCATTCCTCGGCCAGGCCGGCCACCCCGATGCCGCTATCCAGCCGCCTTGAGGATCAACTGATTCAGATATCGCTCAAGGCGAGTCAAGCCCTCAGGGCCTAGTTGAAGATAAAAAGAGGACATATACGACCCTCATCGGTGCATAGAACAGGAAGACTAAGCTTCAATAAACATTCGTTTACAACAATTCTCAACAGCGCTCTATAGCCAACAACCCTCCCAGGATAGCACCGGAATCGCGTGAGATCAAGAAGCTGCCACCCTCCCATATGACCTTTCTTGTCTCCGATTTTCCCATTCCATGTATACCAATAACCCGTCCTCCGTTTTCTAAAAAGAAACTTCTCATTGAACATACACCCAGTGCCCTCGCCTCCTCGTGGGAGCTCATCGCCGCCAGTCCCGTCTACGAGCCCGAGACACTGTTCCCAGCGCCTCGCGGGCTGCTCGTGGTGCTGTTGCTGCCGGGGTTGGCGCTATTAGGTTCTGAGTCCATACGGGCCGGGTGCAGGATGGCAGACAGGCTTGCCCTGTTATTGCTGCTATCGTTACCGGACCCAAAACCTGGTGAGGACTGTAGGAGGGCCTTCGGGGGCAGTGTCGACGAGTTGCTGCCGCTGTGGGCGAGCACGGCTGGCAGGTGACCGGGTATGATCCTTCTAGAGCCTCCCCCTCCTGCAGCTGGTGGTGCTGGCTGTGCTGCTACTGCTGATGGTACTGGCACCTGGCTGTTGGTAGGTGGTGTCACGCGCGACTCAACTGACGCAGCCGCCGGCGGCAAAAGTCGTGGGTTATGGAGGGGGCGGGACTGCAGCGGGCCGGCCATGTCGTGAGGTTGCGGTGGGTAGGGGGTGGTGGCGGCGGGCAGATGGGCGTGATGAGGGTGTGGGAGCGGTGCCGGGGCGTAGTGGCCCGCGACCGTGTAGTGGCTATAGGGAGATCTTGCCACCGGCGATGGCTGCTGGGCGTACTGCGGGTGGTATGCCTCCGATAGCGGCGGCAGGTGCGGGTACGTGGCCACGTGGTTCCTGGTAGTGACGGGCACGGGATGGTCATTCAAGCTGGACTCCGGGTACATATCCTTGACGGGCACGACCTGCCTGAGGCTGGGGTCGGTGCTGGGCTGGGGCAGCTCGGGCCCGCTGGGGTGCGGCCGCGAGTAGTACGAGATGAGATGGAGGTGCTGACCCTGCGAGGTGGTGATGCTAAAGGTTTGCTTCATAAGCCCGTCCGTCTTATACCGGTAGCCCTTGGGCTCGCCGTCCTCAGAGACCTCGTCGCTGCCGCGGCCCGAGTCCAGCGTCTTGCCCGCGCTCCTCCTCGACGTGCCGAAGCCGCCGCCCCGCTTGCCCTCTATCTCGCGGTAAGCTAAAAAGCTACCCGATACCCTACTCGCGCTCCACGACTTCCCGTCTGTCCACCGCCGCATGCCGGCCTCCCTCTCGTCCCACACGAATACCGACCCGGACCGGATCGACTGCCGCTCCTTCTTGGACAATCTGCACTGCACGCGCGATAGTAGGCCTACCCTGCAGGCCTCGAACAGCTTGATAGCATCTGCGGGCGTCCGCACGATACCGTGATAAGTCTCCATCATGTTATTCTGCCATATAGATATCGACGTGTGTGTATGATGTACGTGGTGTTCTCTTGAAAGGTGCGCTGTGTTGTTTTGTGTGTGTGTGTGTGTGTGTGTGTGTGTGGTAGTGTCGAGAAAGAAGAGAAGAAATCGAGAAGAGGAGGATGATAAGAAAAGAGAAAATCAGAAGGGAGGAAGGGAAGTGATAGGAGAGGGAGTAAGAAGAATAAGATAGGAGGAAAAGGTTATTTGTGTCTCAGGACTTGTAGCTCCAAAGTAGGTTATTAGAAGTGTGGGCAGGCCCAGGCCGAGAATCTTAAACAAAGTCCCTGGAAGAAAAGCAAAAGAGAAAAAAAGAAAGATTGGGTAGAAAGAGTGCCACAGATAGAAGTTTATATAGCCCCACAGATCTAGTAGAAGGAGATGTGGACCTACCATCCACACAAGAAAGCTTGAAATATAGTTCCGATGTGGCGGCAGCGCCCTAGGAAAAAAAAAGCCCCTGGTCGTAGAACTCAGGAAGAGCCAAGGCTTTGGTAATATCGCCCCACAGGGATAGAAATAGCCGAGCGGGCAGTTCTCTGATCTTCCGAAACTGTAGCGAAAATAAACCCTTTGTGGCGTTATATAGTACATAGAGAGAGGCATTTGGAATATTGTGGCTGATTCTCTGATACGTCTACGCAGGCCTCTGGCCAGTTAACCGCCCATTAGTCCTCTCAGACTTGCTCGATAAGCAGAAGAAGACGAGGCACCCTAAACATCCTCAACTTCTTCCATCTCGGCGGAGGCTGATGCTCGAGGCTTGCGCACAGCTGCCAGGCTCCTGAACCACTACGCTGAGCTATTGTCCTCAGGTACGCGCAAAGGCTTGGGTATATTAAGTGTGATGACCACGGAATCAGTTCTCCTTAAGGGCAAGCTGGCAGACGATGGAAGAGATTACAACTCGAGGCTAGGGGAAAATCGAAGCAAGCTCACGAGGACACAGCTTCGGCCTGATGGCGAGATAGGAGACAGCCTGGCAGTCTGCAATATACGATACCGGAATCTTCAGCTCGAGGAGAAGGACCGTGAAGCCGAGATACGGAGGATTGCGCGCATCAGGCGGCGTGAAGAGACCAAAACGAGGAAAGAGGAAGCACAACGGAAAACGACGACAAGGAAAGAGCAGCAAATCGCCTGGAGGCAAGCTGGCCAGAGATAGCAAGGACAGCCAATCCTCTTCAGAGATTGGTTGACGATCCATTGCACTGAGGCGCTGGCAACCCAGGAAGAGCGTCGAACGCCGCCACAGCAGCTCATCCCTGAGGATATACAACAGCTTGTCGAGGCTGATGCTGTAGAGGCATGCTTTGCTTTGTGTATATATAAGTATGCGTACGAAGGACAGATGGGAGTGTGTGTAAGAGAGAGAGAGAGAGAGAGAGAGTAGAGAGACTCGGGTGAGTAAGGGTAAAAAGGGGCTTATAGGCGGGCGGATGATAGGGGTTTGCAAAGCATCAGAGATGAGGTTGGGAAACAAGATGACGGAGTTGGGTAGTCCCGAGACATGGGGGTTGATTAGCTGGCATACCTGCAAAGGCGGTGTGCTAGAAATGTGGGAAATTAACCCTAACTCTGACCAATACCAAAAAATCCTCTGTTCTCTTTTCACTTCTAGTAATCTTGGCCGCTTGCTTGTCTTGCAAGACAACTCTTAGGGTATAATTTTCACATTTCGCCACCCAAGTAGATCTAATTTACCTGTTATATAAGTTACAAAAAACGCTATGGATTTCCTATATAGAAAGCCCTAGTACTTCGAAGTGACCAAGTAGGTTCTTTGTACACTATAATTTATTAATAAAGACCTTAGCATTCTAAGTCTTCTGGAAACTCACATAATTCATTGTTGTCGATCGGGACAGGTTCAGGAATGGAATTAACAGGTGCTCCTGTCTCAGCTTGCACAAGGCTTGGAGACAATCCCTGGTTAGGCATAGGCGAGTTCGGGCGTTGTGGGCTGCTAGGACGCATATTGAAGTGAAGAACAGGTCTGGGAAATATTGCTCTGTCATTGAAGCCAGGGGATTTCGTGAGTGCTGAGAACAGCCAGCTTTTTATGCTCAAACAGCGATTGCTGGCAGGTCATGCACTGAAGCCGTCTTTGCCCCCGGCTCCCCCCCACCACAGGAAAAAAAATTTGCTGATCACCTGATATGATCATTGCTTTTATGGAATGACTGCTTTTTGTTTCGTAGATGTGGCAGCGTCTTGTGCAATGCAGCCTAGCAATAGTCTAATGAAAGGTGGAACTGCGGGAAACAACCCCTCACACCTCTTCAGGCAGCTGGATCCCAGACACCTCACAAGTAAGATTGACGCCGATCATTCCGAAATATGCCACACCTCGGACTTACGAGTATAGTTTTGAAAGCAGCTGGCGCCTTTCAGGGTTTCGCGCGGCGTGTGATGGAAACCGTGTGAGGGACCTGGCGCTTAGATCACCACCCTCGTAACTGGCTGATGCTGTATGTCAATCATTCGATTCTTATAAGACTAGCATCTTATGACCTCATGACTTGCAGCTGTCACACAGTACAAGGGCACTTATTGGAGGAAAAGCGAGAATGACAGCTACCCGGGATGTATTGCTGGAGATCACAACTGGGGATCATGCATCTGGGGCCATGCATCCCAGGACTATTGCTTGAGACCATGGCTGGAGCATAGCTATTGAGAACAGGGTTATCAAACCTCTGGCATCTGAAAAAAAAAAAAAAAAAGCTTGCTTTGATACCATTGATATCATTTCATGCAGTAGAGGGACTACGAAATTTTCGGATGAAATTTGAAAATATTGCTTTTAGAACTACTAAGTGACTTTGAGACTATTCGACACATACCTCCGTATATCCCGGGAAAGAGATTTATCACAGAAAAAATCATCAAACCCAACTGTATATGTGAATTTGACCAATACCACCCATCGGCCGTGCCACCACGCCATGTCCAGATATTCTACATGGCAAGACTCCCATGTCAAGACTCCCATGTCAAGATGCTGCTCAAGTTGTTGATGGGAAGGAAGTATTCGACTGGGATGGTGGGTATGCCCTGCCAAGTTGAGCATTGATTGTTGAAAACAGAAAATCCGCGATGATCTCGGCGAGCCATCATCGTGCTCTCGCATGCTACTGGTCCCAGCTCAGCTTCATACAGACCACCGTCAATTTTCTGGTCAACTAGGCCATTCACCTTCCATTCGGGCAGCTCCGGGTCAATAGCCGAGACTGAAGATATTAGTGAGAAACAAATTTTATGTGCATAATTGCAGACTTACTGGGCCATTGAGGAAACCGATCAAAGTCTGACACAATAACATGAGGTTTAGGATCAATGGATGATGTCACGCGAGTTGGTGTAGGCCCGGGACTGAGGGCAGGGGAAGGTGGTGTTACTTGTAGCGGTGTTGGACTCTCAGGAGCAGAATTGTCTTCATCAGTGAATGATGTTTCTGACATAGTAACAATAGATGAATGGGTGGAAGTCAACCTGTCGACTGTGGGAGGCATTTTGTTGTGGTCAGATGGAACCAGTGGTATATGCATGAACTGTGCTTTTATATTGTCTTTCACCCTCCTGCTCTTTGTGGTGCATTCCTAAATTTCATCATCTGTCTGCTCCAGGACCACTCCTCTTTCCCAGAAAGCTGCTGCTCATATTGACCCCGTCTCGAGGATGTGATGCGCCTCCCGGTCAAAACAATAGCAAACCCCTGTATACCACCTGGTTCTTAGCGTCATATGGATCACGCTGATGCATCCATATTTCTCTTCTCAAAAGAGACTCCGTAAATAGGTGTCTCAAACGTTTTTGTTAATTGGACATAGTTCCTGATGCTGACTTGGAAAGAAGCGGAGTCTTACTCATTGTCCCACTTCTCGAGCCTATACAAGCGACAAGAGAGGCAAACTTGTCGTTTGCAGAGCTTGCAAATCGCAATCCTTTCGGTCCGTTTATCTTTGCATATGTCGCATGCAAAACTAAGGCCCACTTTCCGAATTATGAAAACCTGCATCTTATGTATGCAATTCATTTCTGCTGTTGCAAAGTAACCATGTTAGAAAGTCATGAGTAACAATGTAATCATGCAGGCGAAATGAGTAAAGAAAGTCTCTCTACTTACTGTTCGGTATTGTGTGAAATTGCAAGCCTGGATTTCCAAGTAAAGAAACAGGGAAGCATTGATTTTGCGAAACAGTATTTATAGTTCAGCTCAGAACTTTGATTGACAGAGCAGCCTCCAAGAGAGCTATCAAATTTAACAGTACTGATGACTACTTAAATAGCGATCCTGTCTTCTTGATATTTTGGCTAACCTTATTATGCAAGGAGACCTAATCTGGTGAATTTCGGAAATGACCTGCGTCATATATCACTTTTTCATTTATTACGGCCTTCCAGAATGGTCTGTCGATCCCAAGAACCCTCCCGAAACAACGGCATGGCTGGGGTCCGCGGCTGGGGTCTAGAGCCTCTCGTGATTAACTTGGGGAATGTATTAGTTTGATCCAGATAAAAGTAGTCTTAACTACTGAGCAGAAAGATTAGTTCTACAATAATGCCTCAGTGGATATATGGAGATGCGGAGATCAGGGCTAGAGTCAGATAATAAGCAGAACATTGACTAATGAATCACGATTTTTGTTTACAGAAGGCATGTTTCTTTGCTTTCAACTTGTAGGAGGCATTTGATGTTAATTACTAGCCAGGAGATCTTTCTGTGAGCCTCTTGATGCTGGGTCTATATCAGTGTAGAGTCGATCTCTCAATGTAGCTCCTTGCTCTGCTTGACAGCTGCAAAGAGGTGCGGACTGCCTGCTTGTGTTTGACAGGTGTCAAACAGAGAAAAACATCTTCTCGAGCCAAGTCAAAACACCTCTCGGATGCATTCCAGCACTTGAAAGGTACCTAAGGCTACTCGACTAATGTATGACTCGACTTCACAAGACTCTGTTCTAGGGTCAGGTCCTTGTCTTCAAGCAACAACTGCATCAGAAAGAGGCTGTCTGCTAGAACGCATTCTCCATAAGAAAAGTTACTTACTATTGTCTCAACAATGGCAGACAAAGGGCCATATTCCTCGTGGAGGAGCTTTCGCTGAATACCGCGCATCCCAAGCAGTTTTACATATACTCTCCGAGCGACACGGGGAAAGAGCTGTCTGGCATAGATGTTGAAGCTGATGACACTGCTGCTGGCTGGTCCGCAAGACTAATGATATTGGGTGGTACATGTACCACTCAAGGCTGCCTCAGGCCCTGATAATGACTTCAAGGCTGTTGATCAGTGGCACAGCCGGCTTATGCCCTGTAAAGTCAATTTGGTTGCAGGCGTGACTTTACTCTGTAGGGCATGAAGACGAATGTTCTGAATGAAAGTAGAAAAGCGCATCAGTGAATCCTAGCTTGGCCCGAGTCAGTGACCCACACATGAATAAAGTTCCAACAAGGTATATGCGGATCTTCGTGTGGTTGGGTCAGGCACCACTGGCCAGTCTTGGATGTATAGACTGGCCTTTGCAGCTGGAAGGTCAGCAGCTGAGGCGCTAAAGCACAGTATATCCAGAGCTTTGAGGCGAGGAGTCTGGCTAACAAGTTCTATAGAAGTTCTGTTTTGCTGCACTGTAGATCATCACAAAGATAAGGGAAGGAGTTGTACTTATTGCTCTGCAAACGCTGGCGACTTTTAGTCACACATTGACCAGCAGCAACGACGAGCTATGGAACTCCATACAATGCTTGACTCATCGGGTTCGCAAGAGCATCAGCGCATCACCTCCAAAGTGTCTGTCCAGAATTCTCTTGGTAGCAGGCCTCCAGCACAAGGGGAAGAAGGAGGCAAGATATTTGCTTCTGCTATTCCAGGTACTTTAGTCCCGCCTTTTGTTCATCAACAATCAACACTTCATTAGCCTGACCTACCTCAAAGATGCACTCTCACATTCAGGAACCCCTCCGGACATGGCCCGGCCATCTCTGCAAACTAATCCACTGGTTTTCCTGCTGCCTCTGACAGCAAACTCATCCGCTTTCCGGTTTTCCCGACGATTGCTTCACAACCTGGCTTGGATGAACAAAGCTCGCAGGGATTTAAAAAGGGAGACAGAGTATCAAAGGTCGTACAACAACTGGAGGTCATTGTGGAGAAGCTGCAGTCCCTTTATGATTTCTATCTTAGGGAAAGCGAGCATTTCTTACAATCTCGAGAAAGCAGGGTGCTTACGGAGCGAGGATCTTCAAACCCTAGCTTTATGGAGTTTGCACCCCGTTCGACACAACCTTCGAAGGACTTGTTTAAGAATGTTTTCATTAATACGAGCATACGAGACTACGAATTCGCCAAAAACAGCCAGCACGATAGCAGCCGCATGGGCACGCAACTGTAGGCCAACATTCACTAGCCCCCCACCAGCACAGCTCTGAGCGTGTGTTAACACATCTTTGGAGGTCATCTCTGCAGTCAACAGTGACAATAGAGTAAAGATAAGAAGGACTGGCTGATTTGAAAGCGAAAGGTCACAAAGCAAGATAGCGAGACGCCTAAGTTGAAGATAAAAACTTATGCAGCTTGTCATTAATCTTTCCCCAGGGCTGACGGAGTCGTTTCGGTGCTCTAGAGAACCGGAATCGAACAATGCTTCTGCATCGTCATTTCTTAGTGTTTGTTAATAGTCACGAATTTTTCGACCCAGAAATCTTTCGGTGGAATCTAGTCAAAGAATGCTGAAGGGTGATCAGAGCATCTCGTTCAACTTCAAATGCGACGAAACGAGCGGCGAACGGTGGCCAGTAGTGAAACTTCAAATTATTTCGATTCATGCTGAGGGCGAATGGATCATGAAAATTCTCGTCCATACCTTGAAGAAGATGATAGGTCCCTTACTCGGCCAGGTATCAACAACTTCTTTTGATTGTTCAGAAGAAACTGGCTGTACATTTCGCACACTTGTAGAGACAGATTCCTTGCCCTAAGACTAGATAGATCAGATGCGTGTGCCTGCCAAGACTAGACAGGTAAGAAGCCCTTGTGCCTCTGGCGTAGAGTAATCAGTGGTTGACCGCGGGCTCTTTGTTCCTCTTCCAAATTTCTAATCCACAACCACTTCTTTCATCCCTTGTCTCCTTCCGTTCCATTTAAGACACTGAATCGCTCCAGCAGCTTTTCGTTATTGCGCAGACCAATGATCGCCTCCTCTTGCTGCTTACTCTTCTCGTGCAAGCTGGTGTTTCTTAGGGAATAGTATGCAGACAGAAAAATGTCTAAGAGCTATGCCCGTTCACATCTTATGCTCCTCCACTGACACCCCTGCCTAAGAACGCAGTTAGCGGAAGCTTACTCTTATGCTCCTCCACTGATACCCCTGCCCAAGAAGGCACTTAGCGGAAAGCTTGTGCTCCTTCACTGACACCCTACCCAAAAAAAAAAAAAAAAAAAAAGGGAGAAAAGATAAGAGGGTTCAAACTGCCCATGTCTTGCTGCTTTCTATCAGTACTTTATGATCTTCATGTCCAGCAAGGCTCCTTGATCCATAACTTGAATATATGCTTTTATCTGTTTAATAACTATCAATCACAGTTGCTTTGTCTTTATACTCAGAGTTGATTATGGAAGAAAATCTGCGCCAGATAGCTCTTTCTGCTATTACAGCTGCCCCGACCATTATAACTGCCCCGACCATTACAGCTGCCCCAACCATTACAGCTGCCCCAACCATTACAGCTGCCCCGACCATTACAGCTGCCCCGACCATTACAGCTTCCCCGACCTCTATGGCTGCACCTACTTGGCAGGGATTGGTGAAGACACATGAGGATGCAGAGACAATTGTCGAAGCATGTATTACTGGGAAGCTTAAGTGGGCTCAAAGGGGCAAGCATCAACACTTCATTTGTAGTGGCACAGTGCTTATTTTTCCTAATTTCTTCAGATGGAGAGATTATCGAAAGTGGGATGATAATAGGAGAAAGGGCTTCTTTAATACCTACCGAGAAGTTGAAGAAATCCGGGGGAAGATTCTCGTCAAAAAAGGCGGGCTGATCAAGAAAACGATGCGTCTCGACTTTGAGGAAACCAGTTTCAAGCTTGTCAGCTACCATACCACCGAAGATGAGAATAACAGCAGCCTGCTCCGCCCATGCCACGATCCGATCCTTAAGACAATCAAGAGCCGACCTGGTCTTCATGCCAAATACCTGAGGCATGAGAATTTGACCCCTTGTTCTGCTTTTAGCAACTTTGCAAAGCCAGAGGAGAATTGGACGGAGATCTTAGAGCCTAAGGAGAGACGCCGGCTGCAAACCATAATATCTAAACGCAAAAAACGTAAGAAGCCTTCTAATCTTTTCCTGCCCCAAAAATTCTTTTCAAGCTTATAACCTTTAGGCCGGATGAATGGCCAAGGGCCTCCGCCCGAACCCATAACTTTCAGTGAGGTTAGTCAGTTTGCAAAGCCAGGGGAGGATTGGACTAAGGTCTCAGATCCTCGGGAGAGACGCCGGCTACGGAACATGCTAAGAAACCGCAAAATACGTAAGAAACCTTCCAGTCTTCATTCTCCTTTTCTCTCTCTCTCTCTCTCTCTCTCACAGACACACATACACACACACACGCATACACACCCAAAAAATAATAAATTTTTCACTTACAAGTAGCTAATATTTCACTTTCTTTAGGCTATAATAAAAAGCATCATGTCAGCCAACACCAAGACCAGAGCCACCAGCCCTCTCCACATATATCAGCCCCACCCCATATCTTGCCCGACTACCAAACAAGATCAGAGGTTCCCAACATTCCAGAGAGCTCTCACAATAGCAACCAGGCATCTTATGAGAACACCTCGGGCAACAACATATCATATTCACAGCACCCTGACCATATTATTATTAATGAAGTGGAATACAAACGCAATAGGAATGGTCCCTTTGCTGGTATGCTTGCGTCTAAAGGCGCCTTGATTGAGATTGATGGCGAGGATTATGTCCAATACTGTATCCTAGGTAAATCGGTTTGAAACGGGCTTCTATCAAGTAACTGAGTTGCGAATGAAATCCGGTAGGCAAGGTGGATAGGAATAGAGAACTTAGATACTAAGAAGATAAAGACCTATTCTACTGGGCTTGATAGATACAAACAGTACTTAGATACTCTTCCTTCACTCCAGCAATCCAGTACACAATTGAGTTTATTATAAGAACTAAGGCCTACGAGGAGTCTTTTATATCTATAATGTGATGACAAGAAGATACCCTAAATTCAGCGCCTTAAAATTTTTATCCTTCATCAATTGCGACTGAAAAAAGGGAAAGCTTTCACAAGATAAATTCAAAAATGTTTGACAGCTGCTCTGCAACAAAATAATTTTCTGCTTGCTTCTTGGTCTATGTAACGAAATAATCCGTGCTATAGATCGTTACTTGCTTTGTGTTTCTTGAGGCTGCTTCGGATTCGGGGGGCAGTCTGTGCCGATGCAGCACATAATCTCCCCGCTCTGACACTGTCCCCAGCTAGTAGCCCCATCATCATGAGGGAATGCGTAGGCGGCCCCCTGGCAGGGTGCAAAGAATGGTACCGCGGCAGTCGCATCTGAGTACGGCCGAAGAGGGTTTACACAGGCGCCATCATTATCCTCGGGACAGGCGGTCATATTCCACAGTGGAAGGTTGCATCCAGTTACGACAAGACCCGAGCATGCACAGGTGATAGCGCTGGTGAAGCCATTGCTATGAATACTTAGAAAATTAACGGCCTAGTAGCGGCCAGAGGAACAGTAACGCACACGTAGGAAACATCAATAGCAGCTATGGCTACGCTATACCCATCTGAAACGACGAAAGAGGCCTCGATTAAAGAGCTATCTGTCATAGGAACGGGCTTAGATTCATCTGCTGAAATGTTAGAGATAGCTATATTGCCTGCCCAGGCGGTCGGGACGGCCATAACTCCTGTTCCGCCGCTGGCGATGGTGCTGGGTCCATTATCGCCCTAGATTGGGGTCGGAACACCAACGTTCGATGCATGAGAGGTACTAATCGGCCCGTCACAGCTATTAATAATAGAAATTGTTAAATATTCTGGAGCTGAGTTCACAAGGCGCTTGAGCGGGGCGGTTGGTATTGAATTAGCAGGGGCCGGGCTCTGGTCCATGGTTGTGAGGACAGCTCCCGCCATCAACATGAAAGTCCAAGCACAGAGAAGCTCGATCCTCAGTAGCATGTTAATATAAGGGATCCGCAGATAAAAAATTGTCTCCGTTCTCTTAATGGGTATATAAATGAGGGTGGTATGCTAACTAGAGTTTCTAAATTCCTGCTGGCTTTTGTCAATAAAAGTATGTCTCTGGGCCGGTTGGCGCGGATTGCTAGAATATAATATATTCAAATAGTTCTGGGCCATAGGCAAGAATAGCAGCATAAATAAACAGCTTGATTGTACCTTAGTCGAGGCCAGAACTCTGGAGTCGTCGCTGCCTTCCGGGTTAAGAGCTCCGAACCGTAGTCCCGGATTCCGGGCCTCGCCCTCTGCTCCCAGTTTCCGTCGACGCTGTCAATCTTTAAATGCTTATCCTTGAAACCCCAAGTAATTGATATAAATACTTACTCCCCTTAATTATCTATAATACTCATAACTAGATTTTATTCTATGATTCCTGTTTCTTTTTACAAGCTTCAAGATCTTTAACAACATGAATAAATGGTTCTCCTTACGTCTCAGATTGCTCGAGTACAAAGCGGAACGTCTAGCTTTGAAACACCCAGACACAAAAATCAATATCTTTGTCGAGGGCGGGGGAAAAGTCTATAAACTCCGAATCAATATGGATTATCCGGTCGAAGATTTTCCCGAGGAGCTGTCCGAGAAGCAGCCGCTTCTTGAAAACATTCAGTATATCAGCAGTCCAGATTTTCAAGAGGTTCTTCTAGAGCATAAAGCCAGCCAGCCAGCCAGCTCTACCTACTAAGATTGATAATTCTCAGTAAATTCTTTGCTTTCTACGACATCTAGAGCTTGTCTAATTTGCATACAGACTATAGAGCCTTGTCTCTTTATTGTTTACTGAATAGTGGATATTAGAAATCGAGACTTGCAATCGTTTTGAATTATATAAGTAGCTAGATGCTGCTATCTCCAACTTATTTGGCCAGTTATTTCACACAATGAGACTCTTTGTTTCGCATATAGCTCTCATGCTACCAATTCCTCAAACACTTTCTAGAGATAATTATTTTTCAAAACCCAGAGTGCAAACTATGAGAGGGATATGTATTCTCTCAAGACCCCAGCAAGCTGACTCCTGTGATATATGATAATTTTGTTTGCGATAGTTACTCAGCATATTTGTAAATCAATATGCAAACGATACTCTAAGAAGACAATTGAAGTAAGATTATCACTGCTTACAAGTGCCACCTAAAATTGAATGAGTAATACAAGAAGATGTTTCCTTTTTAAGGATGTAAACAGGGCAGGACAGCTGACAAGTTTACATTGCTGCGAGTGAGCTGCTCCAATCTCATTTTGCAGAAGCCGTAAGCTATATGCAATTGTCTTGAAGGATTCCAACAGATCTTCAAACACCTTACAAACAAGAAACATAACTTCAGGGAAAACTACGATGAACTCATCATGCAATACTGCATACCAGGAATCCCTCTACAACGGGCAATTACTCAGATCCGCTACTGCAACTAGAAGATCAAGGATAATGAAAACTTACGAATCTCACTCCTTCACAAGAATCACAACAAAGTCAGTTGGATATCATGCGTATATTACAACTGCCTGATATATCTATCGGAAAAAGTTTCGAATGACTGGTTTCCCATATGCAGCAAGCAACGCCCTACTTACTGCCACATCAGAACGGAGACTCAGTTCAAGAAGATGATCTACAAGCAGGCAGAACATGCTTTCATCGAACTACTCTCACACTTTCCAGCAGAATGCATTCTCGATAGCAACGGATGGAAGACATGCTCACACTCCGAATGCGAGATTCACGGAGAAGCCAAGCTCAAGAACTAGCACAAGCACTAGCGAAACAAACAAGCAAAACAAGTTGCTTACAGAGCACGAGTGCACAGCATAAAAGAAGCTAGGAAGCTATCACAACAGGCGGCACGATAAGCCTCAAAAGAAGGAGATCGACTGTAAGAGACAACAGCTAATCAGAACCAACGATACAGTCTCTCTGTGCAACTCAGGAAGTTAATATAGCACATTTGATACTCGAAGCTGAGACCAACGAACAGAAATACCGCGCACTGTTGAACAGTAGCATATAAGGAAACTTCATATTACCAAATATTATCAACAGGAATAAGATCCTATGGCACAAAAAGAAAGAAATCTACATACTCAGAACTATAAACGGAACAATCGTTGACTATAGCTAAGGTATTATCGACATGGAAACTAATCATCTACCAGTTACAATCCAGAGCAAAAAGACATTTATTACATTGAATATCATGGAAACAGCATATTACAAACTAATATTAGAAATTCTATAGCTTAAAGAGCACAATTCTCGAATCAATTAGATCACTAGCTAGATCTCATGAAACAATGCTGTTATCCAGAAGAAGATTGCAATCAAGAACGAAGGATCGGATTCAGTTACTGAGCATTAAGCAAGAATCTCAAACAAAACTACACATACTTTCAAATTAATTCGGAACTAATAGCTTATAGAGAAGAATCTAGCAGAAGATGAACTTACAACAACAACAATAGTGCCAGGGCATCAGCAGATTAATACAACAACAGGAGTCAGAATCCTAAGAAGAAAGCTCGATCCGGAGCAACGAACTTGAAAAACCTTACACTCAGGCGCTGATATTCTCAGCCCAGACCGGAATAACAATCTCTGGCTCTCGGAGCTCAGAATGAAGAAGAAACTCAGAAGTAAGAAGAAAAACGCTCAATAGTATCTACTATTTCTCCAAATTGCGGAAACAGAAGAAGGATTACAACCAGCACTTGCAAACATATTCAGAAAGTATTACAAGTTCATATAGCTATTTGAAGCTAACTCAGATCACAGCTTATCAGCATACGAACTATTTGATCACAAGATCGAATTAGAAGATAGGAAATAACCAAAGTTCTTCCCAATCTACAGCCTTAATCAGAAGAAGATCAATGCACTCAATAAGTACTTGGATGAACATCTTGCGAAAGGAGTTATTAGAAAATCGAAATCATCAGCAGAATATCCTATCCTATTTATACTCAAGAAAAACGGGGAACTCAGACTGTGCATAGACTACTAACAGCTGAATAGGATTATTAAGAAAAACTGATACTTACTACTACTCATTAAGAAAATAAGAGATCAACTACAAGAAGCATAATAATTTACAGCGCTAGATCTCAGAAAAGCTTATTATCAAATCAGAATCAAACTAGAATACGAATGAATAACAGTATTCAGAACTTGCAGAGAACTCTTTGAATATCTAATCATGCTCTTCAGCTTGACTAATGCTCTTGCAACGTTTCAGAACATAATTAATCATATGCTGCAAAAGCATCTCGATTACTTCATCATCGCATATCTCGACGATATCCTCATCTACTTGAAGAACTTTGAAATGCATTAATAGCATATCGAAAAATGCTTAAAACTCTTCAGAACGCAAATCTACTTATTAATTCAGAAAAGAGCATATTTCATATTCAGAAAATTGAATATCTTGAATATCAGATTCAACTAAGATAGATTGAAATGCAAAAGAAGAAGGTGAAAGCAGTTAAAAACTAGCTAATATCTCAGAATATCAAAGACATCAGATCATTCCTCAGATATATCAATTTCTACTAATAATTCATTAAGAACTATAGCAAGATCGCATAACTATTCACAAGCCTTACTAAGAAGAACTTCCGATTCTAGTGAATATCGGAAGAACAAAGAGCATTCAACGAACTCAAGAAACGAGTTACAAAAGAACCCATCCTTGTTAAAGCAGATCCAGAAAAGCCATTTGAAATTGAAACAAATGCTTCAGATTTCGCACTCAGCGAATAACTTGATTAACAGAATAACTAAGATTAACTACGAATTATCAGCAATTTCTCAAAGAAGCTGAACAGATCAGAAGCAAACTACGGAATACCAGATAAGAAGCTTATAGCAATT